AGATCCGATTAGGAAGATGTTTTAAATTCGACTTGTGTTAAGAAAGGTAGAGGTAGACCTAGGAAGACTTGGGCTTATTGTATTAAAAATGATCTTAATTTACTAGAACTAAATGAAAATATGACACTAAATAGGACGCAATGGAGAAAAAAGATTCATGTAGCCGACCCCACGTAGTGGGATTAAGGCTTTGTTGTTGTTGTTGAATTGTCGAATCGACAACAGTGTAATTTCCTCAAAGCCATAAAATTATCTACAGCTCTGTGGACGTAGACAATTTGCCGAACCACGTAAATCTGTGTATTTCCACTGTGTTTTCTGTTTTGTGATTTTTTTTTTCTCGATCCGGTGTTTTGCTTTATTGCCGTTGTTTTTTCCACAACAAAAATGTAATTAACTTTTAAAGTAATCAATGGAATGGGTCTTCCGCGCAGAAATATTTTCAGTTACAATAATCAGAGGCTTTTTCAAAGTAAATTTTGCTTCCACTCCAGAATGAAATGTCTAATTTCATTGGTTGTCATAATACAATCCAATGTCCTATGACGCTCTAGAAAGGCTTCTTGAGATATATACACCAGGGTTGGAAGAAAAATCTGTCTTATTAGGAAAGACATCAGTCAAAATTTTAAAATTCTTGTTGAGAATGCAGATTGGATTAAATTCTTTGGAAGATTTGCGAACATATTTTTTTGGGGATACGGCAAATAATGATAGAACTCAAATTTTAGAAATAGCTGATCTTCTCAAGATTAAAAAAATCAAATATAGTCATTAATTTCAATAAAGTTACCCCAAACCATATATGCTAGTAGATATGGAAGTACCATAAGAGAGTATTATTTTTAATCTCCTTCTAGGCAAAAGGGAAATCCATATTTAAAAGGAGAGAAGGATCATCAGAAGAATAAACCTTCTTAAATCACGTGACAATATGCCCAATAAATTTCTCTTTAATTGGTTTTTGAAGTAATCCCTGAAACAACAAGCCTTTTTGATTTGAGAGGGATACACAGTGAATCCAGATTTTTGAATGTAGTCTATTCCTTTATTTTATTGGCAATATGATTAAGCAAGTATTTCTATATATGTAGGAACCATTCAGCATATAGACCTTGATGTCAATAAGTTTCTTCCTTTTTAACTTTGGTGTCGTCTGTTTTTTCCAATTTGATTCAACTTAACAGTTTTGGGATTTTTTTTTTAGGGCTTGATATTATGTTGTTGTTGCGTCTCCAAATGTTTACACTTTCTTTTTAGTCTAAGCTTTATAACTAATACGTTGATTACACCCCCTGGATATTGAAAACTCTTCCTAGAATTAGAAATCCTATTATTGATATTTTACATTCGATTTTTTAAGGACAGAATACCTTTAATATATTCTTAAAAATATTCTAACTAATAAAAAAGAAAAGTAATGATTACATTTGATTTAAAAAACGTATGGTGACAGAAGAGGTAAAAGGCTTTCAGAGAAATATTTCAGCACTTTGAAGATTTTATAGCAGATAAATGTCTAGTTGTTTAGGCACCGTTGTTCAATGCTTTATGTTTAAAATCAGTTAAAAGTTCAAGCTTTGTAATTAGACCTTTTTATAGGTCTTCTTAAGTCACGGTGATATTCATTTGTTCGTGTAAAATAAAAATTGTCCTTGAGCAATTTATCCTCCAAATATAAAGATTATTATAATTTAAATAAGCATGATTTTTTATACTTTATTCTGCTTCAAGCTCTTTTCAGATTTAATGGGCTTGGTCAGAAGTTTCAATGAAAACTTAGATAACTTAACACGAATGCAACACTAACAAAAATTTATGGGAAAAGAAGGATAACAAAGTGGTTGACATAAGGTTTTAATGATGGTGATGATGAGTGGATGACTCTCATAATGCATTGATTTGTCTCCAACATTTATTTTTGTTTTTATAGGCTTTGATGTGAACATCAAATATTGAAGCTCTCTTTTGCTTCAGCTTTGCTTATTCCTTTAATTTGATACAGTTGACCTAACCTAATTTAGGTATTGTTTTTATTATCTTATATAAAGGGATGATTTAGATACTCTTTTTTACTCTTATTATTTCATTCATTCATGAAAAATTCTATTATCTTGCATAGAGATCCAGCAGAGATCCCTTGGGGTGATTTTGGTGTTGAATATGTGGTTGAATCTTCAGGTGTTTTCACTACCATGGGAAAAGCATCAGCTCACTTAAAGGTGTTCATATATCTCATGCTGTCTGATGTTTTCTTATTATGAGCTGAAATCCTTTAATTCATGTGATGCGACTCTTCTACAGGGTGGTGCTAAGAAGGTGGTAATATCAGCTCCATCAGCTGACGCACCTATGTTTGTTGTGGGAGTGAATGAGAATACATATCAATCAAGCATGAACATAGTTTCTAATGCAAGTTGCACAACTAATTGCCTTGCGCCCTTAGCTAAGGTCTTGCTTTGCTATAGAAGTTTATCTGTCATCTTTTGGCTTATTTGTCGAATAATATATGCATTGAAATTTACAGTTTCTTTGTAAGAGCTATTTGATCATTTCAGTATTACCTTCTCATATTTTACGGTAATCTTTATGTTTGTCTTAAAATTTTTTTCCTGATTAGGTGGTTCATGAAGAGTTTGGTATTGTTGAGGGTCTCATGACAACCGTACACGCAACTACAGGTATTTTATGAATTCTTAAGGCACCAGAAATGTTCGTTTATTGACACTTGCCTTATCTGTCCAGCCACACAGAAGACTGTTGATGGTCCCTCAATGAAGGACTGGAGGGGAGGCCGTGGAGCGAGTCAGAACATCATCCCTAGTTCAACTGGTGCGGCGAGGGTATGATAGAAATGATTTATGTATTTTTTTGGTTTTTTAACATTTCATATGCAATGATTATATCCTATTATAGGCAGTTGGAAAGGTTCTTCCTGAGCTCAATGGAAAGCTCACTGGCATGGCCTTCCGTGTTCCAACACCAAATGTTTCAGTCGTGGACCTAACTTGCCGGCTTGAGAAAGATGCATCATATGAGGACGTCAAGGCAGCTATCAGGTATTGTGCTTTTACTCTTTTGTTATTGTACACTATGTAGTTTCTTCTTAATTCATAAACTATATAGTTACTCATGTCCTCCTTAATTTATGTTGAACTTTTAACTATTACGCTCTAAAAGAAGTTGAAATGCTTATAAATGGTGGCAGTTATGAACTAAATGGTTTCCACTAGTTGAAAAGGTGAATAAAGATATGCTAAATGACCCCTTGGTCCATTTTAATAGCAATCTAGAATTGTGCGCGACATCTTTATTTCAGCCATTTCATCTACTTGCTCCTGTGGGAAGAAATTTTAAAAGGAGAAATGAATGGACATTGCCTTTTGTAGCTGAGAATGCCTGAGTACTAGTTTTATCCATGTTAAAAAAAAAAATATTTGTGATGTTTCTGAAAGTGTTAATCTTAACACTAGCAATATAGATAACACTAATGTTTTTAAAGATAATAATATAGTATAAAAAAAAACATGCTACAATTTATAACACAAGTTGCATAAGATTATCTTCTTAGTGTTGACCTTTTAATTACCGAAAAACAAAATAAACCCCTGAATCGAATGGGCCCATTAGGTTTTTTTGACAAACATTTTCATCCCTCTTCAGTTAATGGCTTTTCAATTTTTTGCTACATCTATTCTACTCATTAATTTCAACAATGTTTACTGCATTAATTTCAGCCTTCTTATTTTGTTTGTCTGTTCTCTTTTAGATCTTCATAACATCATTCTTAAACAAGATTTTAATTGAGTTGCATTCATCCAATGCCATATCTCATGCTTCTGAAACTCATTTATAATTATTCTCTGCTTTGTTGATCCGACATTGATGTAAGTTTGTGAAATATTTTTACAGGTTTGCATCAGAGGGTCCCCTGAAGGGAATCCTTGGGTACACCGATGAAGATGTTGTTTCTAATGATTTCATTGGCGATTCCAGGTATGAGGAGTATTTCTATGCTACTCTTTTCTGCAAAACTATTTCCCGGTCGATACTTAATTCATATCCTGTTATGCTTTGCTGCCAGGTCAAGCATCTTTGATGCTAAGGCTGGAATGGGATTGAGCTCTCAGTTCATGAAATTTGTATCATGGTATGACAACGAGTGGGGTTACAGGTAAATAAAACTGTATGGATTCTCCAGTACTGAACTTTTAATGGAGAAAATTGTCAAATAGTCCCCTAATGTTTTGCAGAGGATCGTTTTAGTCACAGAGTACATAAACTGTCAATTTAATCCTTCAATTTTTTTAATTTGGATTGAAATAGTCTCCGTTGAGAATCATTGCAGCCCCAATTTAAAAAGTATGGAGACTAATTTGATGCTTTTACAGACGTAAAACTAAAATGACCAAATGTAAACATTCGGGGGACTATTTTGACAATCTACTCTTTTTTTTTTTTTAAGGTTTTTGAGCTAATAAGATAGCGTCCTGATTTGTTTGCAGCAACCGAGTGTTGGATCTGATAGAGCACATGTCCCTTGTCTGTGCTCATAATTGAAGCATGATTTTTGGGTAGAAACAGATGCAAATGATGCTTGCTGCTTGCTTCTCCAAGAATTTTTTCGATGCCAACATTTTTTTTATTATTATTTAATGGTTTTATTTTTTAGAAGAGCAGGCTGCATTTCTGATTAATATGCCATGATCTATTTGGAAAGAAAAGAAGTTTGTTAATTATTTTATTTACGATTTTATTAAAATTTAAATATTTAATCGTTTTTTTTTCAAATTTGAAGTAATATTGCTGTGTTTGTTGATGTGAATTGTGATGATCTGTCATTGTAAGCTACAGGCAAACTATCAGCTGTTGCTTCAGTTCATTCAAATGCTAGCATTGCCAAGACTTTGAATAAGATGAATTAATACAGGCAAACTATCAGCTGTATTGCACAATCGTATGTGAAAATCACCGTTGCATGATTAACAAAGTCGATCCTATAGACTGAGGCACTCATTGCATAATCTGACTAAATACAATCATTATATGAAACAGAAATTAAAACAAAAATATTAAAAAAGAAAATTAAAAGGAAAAAAAATAAAGCTCATGATAAAACAGTTCGATGGATGGAACTAGCTTTGAGGGCATGCAGCAATGAGATCTCAAACAAGATATAGTTTCCTGTAAGCAATAGATTACTAAAATTGTTTGAAATTTCATCAAAAGAAAACATAAGAGTGATGCTCTCTTTATGAAAAAATATTGCTTCCGGAGTCCTGACGTATAGAAGGAGCGGAGCTCTGTCTTCCGTTGTATCACATCCGTTGTCCGGATAAAAGCTGCATCTGAACTTCAGATGTAATATTTTCTCCTCTTTATGGTGCTTGCACTTCTCACAAGTCTCATTTGCAAAGTTGTTGTAGCTTTCAGATTAGTTGCTGTTTCATGTACCCCAATAATTAACATCTAATATAGATTAAAAAAAAAAATAGAGCAATCTTTAAAGCAAATAAACTTATAATATCAAATAAAATAGCTTACGTCACCTCAAAAAGAAAATGTAAATATATTCATCCCACAAATCTTTTCCTAGAGAAAGGAAAAGTGATAATATCTCAAAAAATAAGCTCTGAGCATGTTTATGAATCATCATAAAGCAAGGGTTATAAGAAAAATATTTAATAATAAATGATCTTAATTATTGAAACATTCCATGCATGGAAATAAGTTTGTGTTTTGACGTAGAACCATACATTACGTAGTTTGTTAACCATTTTGTTAGTATTTCAATAATGTTCTATCAATAGTGAGAAGAATCCCAAAATAGTTTATGGGAAAGTTGTAGGGTTGAATACATATGATGCTGTTAAGCTTAATTAGATTATCCCTCATATGATCGAAGGAGGCAATGCTAACATTATTGTCTATAATACAAGAGAAGCAATTCATTACTACTGAAACAAATGGGGAAAGCACATCCATAATGCATTAATACTTCAACTGATTAAAAAGAAGAGAATCTCTTGTCAAAAGCCTAGACATAAAGGCAACACAATTCACACTAGAAAATTTGTGGTAGAGATTGCTTTTAGAAAAAAAAAAACAAAACAGAAAAAACAAACAAAAAAAGACAAAAGATCATACAAATCTATTACCACTGAGGTGTTCTCTCCAATGGTCAAACATCACTTAATCTGTGTTCTCATAGCACTTGTAGCACAGTGCGATCTGATCTTGGAATAGCTTGAGGTGAAGACAGCATTCATAAATAGAGAATTGCAAGAGATGTATGTGTTGCTACCGTATGGATATGAAACGTCAAAAGACTTATTGCAAACCTGGAAAAGTCTTTGTATGGGTTGAAGCAGTCACCCCGACAGTGATATAAAAAAATTGATCAGTTCATGAGGGGATATGAGTACACAATGAGCCAATAGGTTCATTGTGCATGTTTCAAAGTTGGCCAAGAGTGAGTTCATTTATTTGCCTTTATTTGTTGATGATATGTTGATTGCATATAGTAGTCAGATTTATGTTGATTAGATGAAGAATCAGTTTTCCAAATAATTTGAAATGAAAGGAGTTGGATGAAGCTCGCCGAATTCTTGGCATAGAGATTCTCTGGGACAACAAAGCTGGAAAGGTTTGACTTTTGCAAGAAACTTATGTTCGGAAAATGTTGAAGAAATTTGAGTTTGATGACTTGGGCAGGGTGGCGAGTTTACTCATTGCATATCACTTTCAGTTGAGTTTAGATCAGTGTCCTAAAGATGATCGTGAGAGGAAATATATGCAATCGAATCCTTATGCTAGTACATTGGGCGGTCTGATGTATGTCATGGTGTGTACTATATCAGACATTGCATAACTAGTTGGTGTTGTGAACAGGTTCGTGCATGATCCAGGAAGGGTCATTGACAGGTTGTGAAGAATATTTTGAGGTATCTAAATGATACAATTGATGTTGACTAGATGTTTAGAGGAAATCATATTGTCCAGATTTATATGTAGGCTACACCAACTATGCAGGTGACATGGATTGACGAAGATCTACTACTAACTATTTATTCACATCGAAAGGAGTCAGTTGGAGGTCAGTTCTTCAGTTTACTGTTGTTTTGTATATTAAGGAGGATGAGTATATAACAGTTACGGAGGCGATGGAGGATTCAATATGAATGCAGGGTCTATTGGATGACTTGGGAGTTGATCAAGAATCTCTGACGATATTCTATGGTTGTTAGAGTGCGATATTCATGGTCACAAATCCAGTTCATTATGCTCGTACCAAACACATTGATGTGAGGTGCCACTTTGTTCGGGGCTTGCTTGAAGAAGACAAGGTTATATTGAAGAAGATAGATATGAAGGAGAATCCAACGGACATGCTCACGAATGTGCTACTAGTCCAGAAGTTCACATAGTGTAGGAGTTTGGTGATCATTCGAACTCATGACTGATAGCTCATCTGGTATTTTGAAGAAGTACACGAGGCTTGATCCCTTCGGGAGGGGGGTAAGTAGGCAACCATCTTTGTGCAGTTGAATTGGAGTTTGGAGCTGATTTGATCATCTCCCACTTCTTTGGAAGTAAGAGATGAGGTGCAGATTATTGTATTTATTATATTATTTACTTTTATTGTAATTGGAGGTGTTTTTGTCTTTTGCCTTTATTTACTTGGATGCGTTAGTCCTTATCTATAAAAGAGATTTAAAGGCTTACAAGAGTTGCATGATATGAGGTGTGTGGAAGTTTTAACCCAAATCTGTTTTCTTTTTCCCCATCATGTGCTAGTGGAAACTCCCTTCCCGTTGATGCAGGCGAATCAATTTAACGCCGAACATTATATTTACATTAAATCTTATGTTTGATTATTGTTATATGAATTTTTACATTTCCCCATTATTTTTGCATAACATTATATTTTCAAAACCCGATTTGCGTTGATCTAGTGATTACATAAAATTTTAGTCAACGAATGTTTTCCACGGAGAAAGAGAAAAATGTGAAAGGAAACAAGATTATTTGGGAGTTTTGACGTGGTGTCCCAAAGGACTTCTAATGCAGACGAAGAGAGGCATGGGGACCATTTTCACTACGCACTGGATGATTGCTATAATTTGTGATTTTTTAATACTTAATTTTAAAATTATTCTATTTTAATTTTAGTCTAACAATTTTAAGCATAAATTTCTCGTACAATCCAAGAAATGTTCATAAATTAAAAAGCCATTTGATAGCCGGTGCTCTTCTGTTTCAATGAAATTCTACAAACGAGACAATCCAGCACGAAAGTGTTCGCCTGTCTGCAAACTTAGCCGATCAGCTGCCAACCCATACTCGTCTCCTCTTCGCAATTCCAGATGGGGCCGGCAAATTTTCCTTAACCTCCGTTTATATATTTATATGAACACTATGATCAAATGTAAAATAAGCAGCAGGAGTCCGACCGCATGGAGCCAAAGAAGGCATACCTTTGGTGTATTTTCCTCATTCTTCTCATCTCTTGTTCCGGTAAAATTTTCCCACTCAATTTCTTATCTCTTTTGTAGTCTGCATGCAAAAATATGATTTTGTATGAATGTGCAGACGGGATGCTACCGGGAGAGGAATCTGGGAAGCCTTGTCCTGTGATACCGGTTGGGCCTTGCTACGATATGGAACTTCCGACACCTGAATGCAACGCTTACTGTGTTAAAATGAACTACGCGAGTGGGGAATGCGACCGCACCTTGGAATGCCAATGCCAGGAGCATTGCTAGCTGCTGGTTAAACAATTTTCTTCTGGTTAATTAGCTGATGTGCTATGTGTGCTTGATTAATAAGTAATATGGCTGAAGCCTTGATCTTTCATGAACTTTGTCTGTGATTTTTACATGTTATGTTAAATTGTTTCTAAGAAGGAATAAGCGACTTGTTGGATGGATGATTTTCTTACGAGAAGTTTATGATTGTATTTTTAGGTGCTAAATTTTGAGTTTTTTTTTTTTTTTTTTTGAAAGATTTGAATGCTTCTATGTATTTGCGTATCATAAACCTCAATTTTTACATCTAAATCACTCTAACTGTGCTTCAAAAGGCGTGTTTCGGTTATTTTAAGTTAATTGTAATAATATTTTTATGGGATATGAATGATTTTGATTGTTATAATAATAATTTAAATTTTGATATTTGAAATGTAAATGCATAAAAGTTGTAAGTGTAAATGCATGTTTTCTCAATCGGGGATTTTAAGTGTTCCAATGGGATGGACATGTTTGGAAGGGGTTTCTATTATGTAACTAGTTTGCATAAATAAATTCAAAAATCTAACAAAAACTATGCTTGACATTATAATATTTTTAAAATATAAAATAAGATAATAAAATTAAGATGATTATGTTTTGGGATGATAATGATATAATCATGCTAAGAAGCTTCTTTCCTCATCAAAGATGATATGTCACCAAAACTCCACTTGATCAAACATAAATCTTGAAATATTTTAAATAAATTAACTTTTAGATTTAAATTGAAGATCATGTGGGCTCCAGTTTCAACAATTCTATTACCAAATTGAATGTTTTGATGAGCATATCAATGCAACAGTGTCAAAAGTGATCCAATCTATGTTCAATTGAGTAAAATTCAAGCACCTTAACTACAATTGAAAATTGAATGACCGTGTTTTCTTCAAATTTTGTATACTTATAGTAACATTA